AATTTCAAATATTTATAAGAGTTTTTTTGTTATACTTCAAATAACCTAATTTGGTTTCTATATAAAAAATACAAAATATTTATTTAAAGAACTTGTGTATGTGTTCACTTACACAATGTAAAACTCTTTAATTTTACATATATTTAGAACTGTTGGATGAGTGAAAATAGATAACTGAGATTACTCATTTTTTTCCAGTGAATATCTTCTCATTTCTTATTGTTAATCTCATTCATATATTTTCACTCATTCAGTGATCTAAATCTGTGTAAAACTAAAAGAGTTTTTGTTGAACTAAATTTTGTTATAACAATTTATGGAAAAATGTGTTTTGGACTTGAATTGAATTTTTTTAAAGTTTTCAAAAATAATTCAAAGTCCATTTAACTTGGAATTGAGCACAAAAATGTTTTTTTGAACCAGAAGTATCGATATAATTCTTACAGTATCGATACCTTATGAACTGTATTGATATTGTTCATATAATACGGATACCAAAGGTAAGGAAGTATCGATACTCACTAGGTAGTACTGATACTAACAGTACTGCTCAAATTCCAGAATGCAAAAATGGTACTGATACCCGAAGGGGTACTGATACTACTTTACATAGTAGTATTGATACCATAGGCTTAGTACGATACCGTCAGGCCAACGGCTAGTAACGACTAGTTTTATTTAAAAATAACAAAAGTAGTACCGATACTCCATATATGAGTATCAATACTCTCTATACTGGACAGTTTTATTTTACAGAGAAAAACATCTCCAACGGCTCCAAATCACTCCCAACAGCTAGAAACGACCATAAACTCATTTCAACATATAAGTACAAGTTGAGAACACTTGAAAAAGAGTTAGAACATCTATCCAAGCAATCAAACACAAGAGAAGAGTTTTTCATTCATATTTTACTTTCTCTTGTAAATATTTTATTTTTGTGAGCTAAATTTTGTAAACACCTTCCTTTTTAGAGGTTTTCATTGTTTACATTTTTTTTTTGTAAAGGGGTTTTTGCTTCTAGCTGAGCCTTTGAAAAAGCTATGGAGTCTTGTAAAGGTTATCTATTTGTCCTTGAAAATAAAGAACAAATTAGTGAATTAGGAGCTAAGGTATTGAAGATAGACTTAGTTGAGAAGTCGAACTACTATAAATCTTTATACCAAATTTTCTATCTTTTACTATCCTTACTCCCTAAACAGTTTTGTCAATTCACCCCCTTAAGCAATTTTTGGTTGTCACAAATTGAGCTTCGAAATCCCAACAGTTTTACATTACTTAGTTGAAGTCGAACTACTATAAATCTTTATACAAAATTTTCTATCTTTTACTATCCTTACTCCCTAAACAGGTTTTGTCAATTCACCCCCTTAAGCAATTTTTGGTTGTCACAAATTGAGCTTCGAAAATCCCAACAGTTTTACATTGTATAACAGGATTATATATATATATATATATAATATCTATTTGTAGAAAGCATTAAGCATCCTCATTTAATATCTTTTAGACAATTTGAGCCTATCGAAATCAATTTTTCGCAAACTTTTCTGAATACAACTTCTTGTATTTGTTGTTTACGCTTCTATTTTCATTTTTCCCCCAAAGCCTCTTGTAGCTACGAGTTAATTATTATTGATTTAATTTAAAATATTAAAAATTAGGGATGAGTATAGATTAGTTATGATCATGTTTTTGACTTATTCAAGCTTGACTAAAAAATTTAATATTTGACTTGATCGAATTCGATATTTGATGATTTTTTTATTTTATTCGTACCTGATTAAAAATTTTTAGGTTAAAACTCATCTCGACCCGAAACAAACAAAAAAATTTCTATTTTCATTCAAACAAGGATAATAAAAAATAAAAAAGAAGTTATATTAAATATCATTATTTTCCTCCTTTTCATTCGATAAAAAAAGGAGTTGATTGAAAAATATAAAGTGAAATATATTATAGTAATTATTTATAGATATATATTAGAGAAATGTACTAATATCTTGAAAATGTATTTTTCACCCTAAACTAGAAATCGACCACGACCCAAACCCAAATTGTTTTTTTAAAAAATAGATCCAATAAAACTCAATCAAATCAAAACTTTTCTAATTCGAATCTCATACTCATCTCTAACGAAAATGCCTTTTTTTAATGATAAAATATTTTTATAATTATGTTTTCATCTTTTCATATGCTTACATAATTTTTTATTAACCTGAGATGATTACAATGTAATATATGTTTTAAAGATTCTAAATCATTCCATAACGAACGCTCAAACACCTTTGCAGGCGCTAGTGCGTAAACTCGAGTCTTATAGGAACAACAATCATCCCTTTAAACACTGAGATAACTTGGTTCGTACTACACTTACATAATTTTTAAATAAAACAATAAAATATCATACATATAAGAATTGAACATGTTTAATATTAAATTACATTTACCAACCATAATTTTCCCCATTTCTTCATAAAAGTCAACGCCACCACTTTTTACTAAGGATTGAAATGAATAAAAAAGACTATTTCAAAGGATTAGAGATGCAATTGCCCTAGGCACAACATTTTTTTAGTTGCTCTCCAATTTCCAAGGCTTCGCCTTGACTGGTCCGGATCGACTCGCATCGCACCTAACTTTGATGAGTGAGTCTTCCAACAATAATTTTCTACATACACAAGAATTCAAACTCAATACCTTACTTAAACGATATCAAACTACTTACTACTTGAATCACCCCTATACTATAATATACTACGTACTTAGTCACAACTCTGAATTGCTAGCGTCCATGACATTTATCTTTGCCAAGTTTTACAAAACTAGTACTACTCTAGGACAAGTTGAAATTCATAGTATAAGTTTTTTTTTTTTTTCCCTTTTTTCAATTTAGGTCCGGTAATACCAGACAATATATAAAATATCAACATGAACATACATAAATGTCAAAATCTATTTAATATAAAGGGTAATTTGTTTCATAAATTAATAATATATATTTGTTTCATACAATAATAATATATATTTTTTCGCAAATAATTATAATTTACTACGATGATAACAAATCTAAAAATATTTTTGAGGATGAGTACATATATTAACAAAAAAAATTGTATGAGATACATACAATTAAAATTTCAGAGTTGACACAATCAATAAAATAAATAATTAACTAAAGAAAATTCAGATTTCAATGTGATTACCTTTTTCTTTTATTTAATCTGGAGTGAGTACGAGGTAGTACTTGTTCAAAGACTCTCAATCATTTGACATTGAACGCACGTACCCCGACATACATGGTGTTCGAATCTGGAATTTCAAGGAATAATAATAATTCCTTAATTACTAAAGTCGTTTGAATCTACATTTCAAGGTGAGCACTTACCTAATTATTCATCCTAAATCATATGTGGATCCACTTCTAATATAGTGTCATGTATTTCTAATAAAAATTAAAATAAATAAAATACATTGTGTATTAGGATTGATTACAAAACTAAGTAATAGGTGGGTGATCAAATAAGGTAGTTCATCATGTAAATTATTAAGAGTTAATTGCACTACATGTTTCTAAACTATGACCCTCAGTCTGAATTAATCCTTAATTTTTTGAATATCTCAAATTCATCTTCAAACTATGACTTTATTCTAAGTTGGTCCCTAAACTTTTGAATATTCAAATTCCATCTAAAAATTTTGAATGATTTTGAGGATGTTATTGGAATGTTCAAAAGTTTGGGGACCAAATTAGAATGAATATCATAATTTGGAGAATGAATCTAGAATCTTTGAAAAGTTAGGAATCAATTTAGAATAAGAGACATCATTTAAAGATTTATAGTGTAATTAACTAAAACATTAACTTATAAAATATATTTTTAAAAGATAATGCATGCGTGTAGACTACACTACTCGAACTCATATTACCTAAGAAGAACAATTTTTTTTAATAGAAGTTGCTAGTCTAATTAAAAAGTAAAATACCAAAAATTACAATAAAGTTTACAACTATCATCGTAAATTAAATATATAACTTGGATATTTTCTTATAACATTGAAGCTAGCCACCTTAAATCATATAAGAACAATACATTGAAAAGGTTAAAAATCCAACAAAAAAACTTAAAAAAAATATATACAAACAAATCTGACTTTATCGATAAACGAATCACAAAAGTGGATTAAGCTATTGAAGGACTATCGAAAACTGCAATTAGAGCCAAGCGTCGTGGGAAACTATCCACAAACGTAAAATTACGTATCAACATTCAATTCAAGTGTCTATGGCACAAAAGATCAACAGGATTACAAATAAGCGTCATCTTGATCAGTCGCAGTGTCGTCAAATCCAACCCTAAGAAAACATAAAATAAAAAGAACATCCAAATGATCGAGAAAGAAGACAAAAAATGAGCTACAAAAGCAAGAAAAATGCCACAAATGTAAAATTATTCTTATTAAAAAACTAAAAAAGAAAAAAAAAGAGAGAAGAGAACCGAAGGTCGGTAATAAATATCAAAATTGGTACCACCACCGACTAAATAAAATCAAAGAAGAAAAAATTGATGTGATTTATAAAAAAAAAGGTATAGACTAAAAAAAGAGAAACAACTAAGGTTTTTATGACTCTTATTTGAGAATAAAATTCTCTTAACCACTAAAATCACTCAAATTCATATATATACATAGAGTAATATTCATTATTTTAATTTTTTATTATTACAAATAATAAATTAAATATCTAAACCTATTATTCAAATTAAAATTTCAAAATTATCGATGTAGTTTCACAATCCTTAATAGTTCGGGCCCATAAGATCTGAGTGAAAACCCTAAATCCAAAACCAAAACCAAAGAAGCCACAGTGGGGCCAGTTTTTAAGGTTACGGTTAGGCTAAGCAGACCCTTTGATGACGACGATGATTACGATAATGATTTTGAACCGTCCGATGTCAATAATCGAACGACGCTGATGCAATAAAAAAACTCATTAAAAACATCAAAAAGTTCTAAAATAGAAAGTACTAGAAGCAGGAACCTTTCTTCACCCTCAAACATAAAATAAAAAACTTGAGAAACCAAAGGCCAAAGCTTGTCTGGTTCCATTGCACTTCTCTTGCACATTGTTATCATTACCAGTTTGCTGCTTCTCTTAGGGTTTTACAGTCCATTCTTTCTTCTCCATAACCATGAGGTAAGCTTTAAAATCTCTCCTTTTTCTCTTCATTTCTTTTTTTACATGTTCTGATGTTGTGTTTCTCCATTTCGGTTTCGATTGCTGTAATGATTTTTCCATTGTTGTCGTCAATGTTCTTTGTCTCTTTCAAAATGTTTTTTGTTTGTTTTTGAATCTGTTCTTGAAATCTGAGTCGACAACATAGGGAATGTTTGAACATTGTTGGTAAAATAAATTTATTTAATTAGTTTGTTAGGGTTTGTTAATTAATTATTGGAAATAAATGCTGTAATGGGGTTTTGATTAGATTGCCTATTTGGAATTTTTACATCTCCAATTGCTGATTTTGGGGCTTTCTTTTTCTTGTTGTAGTCGTCATCCTGAGTTGAAGTGGGCTGAAAGAGCTGACAAGGTTTACATTACGGTGCTATTACCGGATTCGAAGAATGCCAAGGTCAATCTCGAGCCCGAGGGAGTGTTCACTTTTTCGGCTAATGCCGGAGCTGACAATAACCTTTATGAATTGAAGTTGGATCTTCATGATAAGGTCAATGTGGAGGTAAGATACTCTTCTACAATAACTTCTAAGAGTCGACATCGCATTTGCCTCATATTTTAGGGTTTTTGATTATTCAATGTCAATTATGATCGATAGTACTCATAGATTTATTCTGACGATTCGTTGATTCTAAATGATTTGAAACATTTGCTAACCAGCTAATTGTCTCTCGGTGCTCATTTTCACAGCTCACCTCTTTCTCGAGCTGCTAGATTTTGTAAAGTCATGGTTCGGGTGTGTTAGTATACTTTCTATCATAGATCACACACGGTTGAACAATGTTTTACATTTTCTGGACACGTGTGTTCCGGATATGAGGATGAGTCTTGATTATCGAAGATGATGATTGGTGGATGGCACCGGTAGTATTATGCTGCTGATTGGTGTTTATTTTCAGGGATCCTTTCTTCCCAAAACTGCTAGGTTTTGTAAACACAATTTTTCAGGTGTATTAGTGTACCTAATATTGATTATATGATCGAACAATCTCCTCTGTTTTCGAACATTTTGCATGGTATTGCCTTGTTGATGCCCCTGATGCTTGTCTTACTATAAACATTTTGCACTTTGAACGTTTGGTAGTTGTTGTGATATTGATTTCTAAGCAAGTTTTCTTCCGAAATTTTCTTATCGTATGCTTATTTATTTAATTATTTATTTCGGGACAAAAGGAAAGCAAAATTAGTGTAGGGGTTCGGAACATCGTCTGCGTATTGGAGAAGGTTGAGAAAGTGTGGTGGAAAAAACTATTGCGCGGTGATGGCAAGACTCCCCATTATATTAAAGTCGACTGGGACAAATGGGTTGATGAAGATGAAGACAATGGTGAGTCCTTTATTACTGATGCTCCTCCTTTATTATTCCGATCTTCATTTTTAATACCTATTTCGATACTTGTTTCTGATGTATCCATATATGGTATGAGAATATGATCATCAAAGGACCCTCCAAAGTATTAAGGAAATTGACATACTCATATCCAAAACCCGCATCCAAGTCTACATGTAAAATAGTGCTTTTTTGTTCAGATTGAGTTGATTTAAATGTTTGTACAATTTAAGCTGGTAATTTACCGATTGCTAATTGTTTTAATTAGGTCCTGGCGATGTTGACTTCGGAGGAATGGACTTCTCGGTACGGATATATTGTACTTGGTCGACATTTTTCTTAATATTTCCTTTCTGACCGAATAAATCGCGGTGTTTTTCAGAGCTTTGGTAATATGGGAGGCATGGACGGTGGCATGGATGACTCCGAAAACAGCAGCGACGACGAAGGTAAGAACTCCGCGATACGTTGCCATTGAACATCCTTTTCTCTTTGCTGGTTCGTTGGTTTCAATGTTGGCTAAAACGTCTCATCATCCATAGAGCAAGAAGTGACGAAGCCGGCAGAGCCGGACAGAAAGATGGTGGACGGAAATGCTAAGCCGGAGGAGCAAGGTGGCGGGGATTCGGAAAAAAAGGAAGCCGATGCAAGCACATGATCCGATGTTAGCCAAGGATAAATGTCAAGTTGTGGTAAACCTTCTAGAAAGTGTGCTGTTTTATGAACTGATTCTCGCATTAATCAAAATTTGATCGACAATCATAAATTTAGCGTTCATTGTTTATGCATCTACAAAATGTATTGGGAGAAAGGGCTTAAAGTTATAGGAAATTATAAATTTAGCCCTCATCTCAATCAAAGAAAGGACATAAGTTTTCTAACCGGGAGAGCGATTAAACTTTTAATTATTTTATTTTTTTTACCTAGTCTTTTATCAATTAAGAGGTACTTATTTAATCTATGTCATAAATCCGTTAGAAAACTAATGGTCGAGTGAATAAAATAATTTAATCTATAAAATTCAATTAGTAAATTGGAAAAACTGAAAGTTTAGTGAATAAAATATGAAAGAGAGTAAAGTTTAATGAGAAAAGATGGAATTTACCTTTTTTTAAAATATAATGTATAAGAATGTTTGTGAAACAACAAATGTTTGATAGCTATACCAATACACTTTACAAGAAAACACATTTATATTGTAAAAAAGTATATAAATTTTCTTTTATTAGTCTAGATTATAAAATAGTATATGTTTAAGAATTTTATAGTCAATTGATAACAAGTCTTGTATATAATAGTTATTCAAACTCGGAACATTTAGAGAACAACTCCCTTTCACCATTAAGATTGCTAAAACGATTTGATAAACCTTAAATATAAATCATAAAATGAGCGTGGAATAAAAAGTAAAAAAATAAACACACTTCCCTTTACAATTCTAGATAATTTTTTTAAAATAATAAATTAAAAAACTAATTTTACTCGACAGTTTGACGCGATGCATTAAAACCAAATGTTGTATCTCCATTAATCAATTGTTTTATCACAACTAACTAGGGAGAGCAATAGATATAGCAAGTTTAAATATTTACAAACTTAAATATTCAAATATTATGATTAATATTCATTATCCAAATATTGCAATTATAATTCATTCGGATATCCGAATGCATAATGATCCTCTAAATACACAAATAATTTCTAAAAATATCAACTATATTCGTATCAGATACATATCCTTACCCAACACTTAAACCCAAATCCACGTAACATAAAAAATAGAGAAACCATCCAAACATATTTTATAGACACAAGAATCAGAATGGGACCAAAGTGAATTAGATTCAGAAAATAGAGAAACCTGCAGCCTGGGAAAACTCAGAGAAATGCAAATTCAGACTACAACTTCTTAATGGAGATGGTCCAAAGAAGATTGGAATCCGATTGCACCGTGACTTTCTCTCCTTCGATTACATTCGACGTGCTTACTAAACCACCGAATTTCATCTCCGTATTATCTGGAACGAGATAATATTAATAATAAGTCATATCGGTAATGTCGAAGCCGACTCTTGGGTGAAATTATGAGAACGGTAGAAAGGAATGATCCCATATGCTAGCAATAGCATGTTAGATGATGAGTTATATATGTGAATACCGCAAAATAGGTACTTACTAAAACAGCAGACTGAAGTTCAAATATAGTCACTAACACACTAGTGCGTTGGTTATAAATGTTTCTATCCACGTTACGCGGGTTCACGGTGACGGCACCGTCACCATCGGTGTGCGTGAATAGAGGATAGAAGAGAATGACACAGAAACGATAACAGGAAAGAAGCTATTTTAAGTGACATTTGATATCTACCACCACCCAAAAACAAGCCAATATCCCCTTAGTAGTTTGGCTCATTATATAATCACGGGCAGAGCCGGATCCAACATCGGGAGGGGCCAAATTACTGAACTTCAAAAACACACGGGCTCATTAAGTATTTAAACTCAAACTTTGGAGGAAACAAGGCCTAATTTGTCTAATATTTAAACTTATAGAGATTCAAATTGTCATTAGACCAATAAATTTGAAGGGGCACGCCCCCATCCTATCCCTTTTTTTTTATTTTAATTCCGTCCCCGTATGTAATGACACAGATAACATCATTCTAAACAGGTATAAGATTTACCGATATTTATTAGTGAATGGATGGGATACATAATAAAGCATATAGAATCAAATTAGTTTCTTTGACTACATGTACATGCAAAGCAACATAATAAGGCATGCAGAACTGATAACACGAGTAAAACATGAAATTATGTCTACGGTTAATGTAATCATATACTTACTCAGATTCCATTGAAGCCCAGTTGTAGTACTACTACTTGACGGCATCCCGAGTGGGATGAGTCCACAGTGTGGTCCCTCGACAGAAGTTTGAATATGTATCTCGTGACGGTGAGTCCTAGGAAGAAGGTAGACGAGACTGTCATTGGATAAAAGGACTATTCGCAGGGATGAGAAACAATACAGGACATTTAGGTTTCCGATCTCATGGTCAAATCGTCCACCAAGGGCTCCAGCAACAAGAATGCAAAGCTGCCATTAAATCCGGAAAAAGAAACGATAAATTAACAGTCAAAACACACAACAAATACCAGCTACCAGAACCACTATTGAAGTACTCGTGATAATAAACATAAAATAAAAGCAAAATGAATGTTCATAAACAATCTAGAGCATTTAAATTTAACATACATTAGATTTGTTCACATCCGAAGAGGAGTCCCGAATGTATGTTATGCATTTATGTAGATCTGTGGTGTCTTGATCATGAGATTTGTCAATAATCTTTGTTCCCTGCACCAAAGAAGCAAGTGAAAATGTCTGAGCAACCGCATATAAACTAGAGAGATGGTAACAAGTTAACTACAAGGAAAAAGACACTGGTATTTTCAATTGGTAAAAGACTAATGCTTATAAAAACTAGAGGGATGTAACATGTTAACCCCAAGGAAAAAGATGCTAATGCTCACAGAAAAACGAGACCGGCAAAGAACAAGTGAGAGCAACCTTAAGCATGGAAGGAAAACACCATCAACATGATCTACAAAGAGAAATTTGAAAACTTACTATGCTCTTGTAAAAATCAAGTACATCCTTTCGTATAGAGTCCATATCTCCTTTAATTGCATCCGGTTTGTATCTGCTATGAAGCAAAGCGCCTATGTTATCACATCATTTAAATTAACTACAACCAAAGCATTTTCCCAGAATCAGCTAACATCAAATATAAGATCCCTTTTAGCTTTTCTGTTGGCATAATTTTTTAGGTCTAAAACTGCATTTCATTATAAATGCAACGCTAAACGAGTAAAAAATTTCAACTATTGCGAATAAGATCATGATTTGGCAATCCAAGCCAAATAACAAGAAAATTGAGCCTTTTTTTCATTTGAATTTTAAGTTTTTAAATAAAATATTATTCTCGAAGTTCTAAACATTAACTTCATAAATAAATTTTATATTTCTTTTATATTTCAAAGTTCTAAAGAACTTTCTCACGTCAATTTTCCGAACACTTGAAATCATTAAACCGCAATTATTTCACCACAATTTTTGCACTCTAATGATTTTCTGAATCAAATCTTGATGAAACTCAAAAACTTCTAAACTAATGCAAGTATTCAAATCACATGATGCAGACAGTGCCGATTTAATGGATTCCAATTGAATCGCATAAGAAAACCACAAAAGCAGCAAAGAGATACAAAAAAGAACCTGCGTCGAACATCGGAAGCATTTTCCTTAGGGAAGAACAGAGGCATTTCATCGAATAGACGGTTGGCGCCACCATCAGCACAGAGGTGAAGCCGGGCTGCACTAAACAAAAAGGAAAAGGACAAGATATTAATCCAGGAAAAAAAGGACAGAAACAAATAAAACAAAGGGGAAAAAGGAGGGTGCAAGATAAGTACCTTGCTGCCAAAGCAGAGGAGTGAATCTGGGGAGGCTCTGGTTAAGAACCACAAGGGCGTATGTTAGAGGAGGGCGGTGGCTGTCGACGGGAATGGAGGGGAGGAGGAAAGTGGAGGAATGGTGCATAAGGTCCATGGCTAACGTGCGTAGAAGAGGAGAGGTGAGAGATGTTTGAATTTTTGTAGCATAATTCGTAGATCAAAATAAATGGAGTTTTTGAAAACAAATAAATTAATAAATAAATGAGAAATGAGGAGGAGAAGAAGAAAATGATTTGACTTTTTCTCAAATAAATTAATTGCAGGATTGTTTATAGGTAAATTATAAATTTTGTGACTCAATTTTATTTTCGTTCTTGTTTTGTTTATTAAAATTTAGAACATTTTAATTTAATCACTTAATTTTTAAAAATTTGTTTGTTTATGTTATTCAATAGTTATCTCTTTAACTCTCTTCTAACTTTATTTTATTTTTATTAATGTTTGAGTTATGTAGACATTAACTCAAATTTTAACCACTGCTCATTGTAATTGATCACCTTATCGATCGACCACAATCTTTAATAAATGTTAAATCCAAAATTTTCAGATCGTCATATTCTAATCTTTTATATTAAAATCTAACCTCCCATCACCTAAATTTTAAGGCCATCGTCATCTAGGGCCACCACCCCCGAGACTTTCAGTAGGTTTCATCGCTTTCTTTAACCACAAAACTTTTATGCTTCTTTAGATTGAACAGATAATTTTAAGAGTTGACCCAATGATTGAAGATTCTTTTGGCAAAAATATTAGGCATAATATCAAAAGTAGCCCCTAATATTCATCAAAATAGTCATTTTGACTCATATCCTTTTTTTAGAGCATTTTGGCCCTCAACGTTTCATTTTGGGACAAAAAGCTCCCTCTATATATGAAAACTATTAGATAACACACGATTAACGCTTCAAAATAAAAACATTTTTAACCTCAAATAAAACATTGAGGGCTAAAATGCTCCAAAAAAATAAGAGGCAAAATGATTAGTTTGTTAAAATATTAGGGGCCTCTTTGTTATAAAATGGAATAGAGGGTAAAATGACTATTTTAGTAAACATTAGGGGATGATTTTGATATTATTCCAAAATAATTAAGTTATTGATTTTGGGTCTCATTTTTTTATTGGCTTAAAAGAATAATTTTATTTTGACGAAATCAAACATAGAAATGATTGGTCAAAGTTGTTCTTAGACATGGTGGATTAACCTTAAAATCTAAAAGCTAGTAGGTTTTTTATGAATGGTGTTTGTTCATGTGTTTAAAGACTTGAAAATGATTTTTGGGTTGGATTTATTAAATTTCAAATATCTTTAAAAAAAGAAAAATACAAGAGAAATACGATTTTTATAATTTTTATTTGAAGATTTCAACGGTGAAAAACAGTATATCTTTGTTCTGATTTTATTTAACGACGAATTATAAAAACTAAAAAGTTAATAATTATAGTGTTTAATGATATATTTATAGATTTTGGTATGTGTTTTAACTAAAGAGACGTCAAAGGTTGTAAAAATTAATCTGATGAAATTTTTTCGATTTATTGGTAGTTAACCCTGGCGTAACGTATTGGGGATCGAAATCTGAGTTAGTTTAGATAAAGGGAGAGAAAATGAGAATAAAGAAGAATAGTAGGAAAGTGAAGAGTAATCTTGTAAGTTTTTATAAGGATTGAAAACGATTATCGTTCTTATGACTTTTCTAAAGACTCAAAACAATATCATTAACTAATTTATTATTTTATCACATTATTTATGATCTAAAGGTTGAATGATTAGAAACAATATAATACTAAAATATTGAATAATAAAACTAAAAAAATATTTTAATGACTAAAAGAATAAAATTAATTGATTAAATTTATAATTTACACTTGTTTATGAGGAAGATTCACGACGTGGGATTCACGGTCAAATAAAGTACCCCGGCCCCACCAATATGGTACCGCCATCCCCAGTTCATGAGCTGGACGGAGAGGTGTGGTTCCATTTGTAGTCAAAGTTGGATAAGCTGATTTGAATTAAAAATTTAATGATAAAAAATGATATTATTATTAAATTAAAAAGAGTTATTACATCAATCTCAGTTATGATAATATTTATTAATTGTTTTCCGTATATTACGATTATATGGCGTTCTCAATTACCTTGTTAAACTACCATAGCATCTAATTAATAGGTAAATTGTAACTTTCATCCCTCAATTTTTTTCATATCTTTTTTATGGAAATTTTCTTTCAAATCTTAACAACGAAACTGGTGAAAAAGAATGAAGTGAGTTATATAATGTAATTTTAAATCAATTGGATGATGGATATTATAGATTAAAGTGGTTTGAGGTTGAGTTTCATGTATGGATCGATGAGACGAGTTCGTCGAAGTCTTGAGTGATTGGAGAAGATATTAGAGGATAGTGATTCTAGTGTCTCTAGAGTTTATATCGTTTTCTATAGATTATATTAACTTTTTCTTCTTTGATTTTATTTAGCTGGTGGCGACATTGGTTTTGATGTTGGTTGTCGACCGTCGATTATCTTCTCTCTTTGTTTCTTTATTTCTTTTTTAATAAAAATATTTGTCTTTGTGACATTTTTTCTGTGCCTTTATGACACATTTTTTCTGCCTTTGTGGTATGTTTTTCGCATTCTTTCTTGGTCGTTTGACTGTTTTTTTTATTCTATGTTTTATCAAGGTTAGATTTAACGACGCCACGACTGATCAAGATGATACTTATTTGTAATCTTGTTAATCTTTCCTGCTATGGACCCTCAGATTGAATTTGGATACGCGACTGTGTTCGTGGATAGTTTCTCGCGACGCTCGATTCTGATTTGTTGATGCAGTCATATTTGTTTGTATATATTTTTACATTTTCCATATATGATCCTTATATAATTTAAAGTGGCAATTTCAATGTTATAGAAAAATATCTAAATTATGTATTTAATTTACGATGATAGTTGTAAACCCATTGTAATTTTGGATATTTATACTTTTTAATAAGACTAGAGACTTTTATTCAAAAAAACAATATGTGTTAATTACTTGATTGTCAATCAATTAACAGTTTATATACAATATTAATTATTTTGATAAAAAATTAAAATGTTATTAAAAAATAGGAGATAAAAATAGTTTTCTGTATAAATATTGAGGGTTACTTTTGTCGCCAACTAAAATTAGGGACTAAAGCAATATATTAACCCAACTTTATAGGAGTTTTGTATAAGAAAGTCGAAGATAAGAGTCAAAGTGTCTACATCAAAGGTCTAAAAAAATAGCTTAAATATGAAACAAAATGAAATTAAAAATCAAATCATTCATTTTCGCATTTTTCTAAATTTTTGTTTTCAAAAGTATAAAAAAAATCTATAAAGCCTATATTCTGTGCTAAAGAAGATGTTCAAAGAATATGCGATAATATAAAAATAAACTATAAAGTCATTGAAAATTCTGTTAAAAAAATACTAACTCACAACTTAAAATTATGTGATTAAAATATAAAGTTATTCATAATTTAATGATTAAATATAAATTCACTCAATAAAATGAATATCATAAAAGTGAGATGATTTTTATTAATAGATAAATAAAATAATTTAATGGTGACTTTTAGAATATTATAATTCAACTATAGATTCTTTATAAAATAATAAATTATGGTGTAATTTTAAACAGTGATATCAATTAAATTTGAATTGGTTATAAACAATGTTTAGTTCCATTAAACAATTTTAAAACAGGAATTATCTGTTAAAAAATAAAGAATGAGGGACTGTAAAAAAGTTTCAAACGACAAATGAAACCCTCGCCGACACATCGCGCCGCGTCGGGTCCCGACAGCTGTCTTAACAATTTCCTGTCTGAAAAATAATTCAAAGCGCCATTTTCATCCCCCAACAAAGGGAAAAAATATTCTGGAAATATTTAAAATAAACTTTGAATTATTCGTTCAACTCAGTTGATAGAGTAAAAGACTCTTTATTTTATAATCGTGGATCTAGTCTTATAATGAACAATTTATAATTATTAGAGGTATCTCAACCTAATGTTAGAGCAACCTACCATCCTACCTCCCTTATCTCATTACATATAAAAATATGATCAGCTAATTTTCGAAAAGCTTTCAAATTCCAATTCCTAGGTTTTTCACTTCTCTGTTCTACAATTCGGGCATTGTTAGGCACTGAAGTTAAGATCAGGTCGGGTCTGGGAACAGGAAGATGATAGACAATTGTTTGGGAGCTCAAAGATCTAGGAAGATCCGGAGAGCTTTACGTCACTTCCAGGTCACGATCTTCTGCCTCGTTCTCACCGTCGTCGTCCTACGTGGCACTATCGGAGCCGGGAAATTCGGGACTCCGGGGCAAGACTTCGCCGATATCCGCGACCACCTCCACCTCTATTCCCGGAAACGCGCCGAGCCGCATCGCGTACTTGAAGAAGTCCAAACAACGTCGTCGAATGAAAACGTCGGCGCCGACACGAACGCCGGGACCAACAACTACAACGAGTTCGACATTAATAAGATTTTACTCGACGAGGAGTCCGACGAGTCGAAACGCGACCCTAACGTCCCCTTTTCTCTCGGGCCCAAAATCTCTGATTGGGACGAGCAACGATCTAGATGGCTGGAAGAAAACCCTAATTACCCAAATTTCATCGGTCCGAACAAGCCTAGAGTTCTCTTAGTCACTGGGTCGTCTCCCAAACCTTGTGAGAACCCTGTCGGTGATCATTATTTATTGAAATCGATCAAGAACAAGATCGATTACTGTAGATTACACGGGATCGAGATATTTTACAACATGGCGCTTTTGGATGCGGAAATGGCAGGGTTTTGGGCGAAATTACCACTGATTCGGAAACTTCTGCTCTCGCATCCGGAGGTGGAGTTCTTGTGGTGGATGGATAGTGACGCCATGTTTACTGATATGGCATTTGAAGTTCCTTGGGAACGATATAAAGACTCCAACTTTGTTATGCACGGCTGGAATGAGATGGTTTATGATCAAAAGAATTGGATTGGGCTAAATACTGGGAGCTTTTTGTTGAGGAATGGACAATGGGCACTTGATATTCTCGATGCTTGGGCTCCGATGGGACCTAAAGGCAAGGTTAGAGAAGAAGCAGGAAAGGTTTTGACCCGGGAACTTAAGGATCGCCCGGTTTTCGAAGCTGATGATCAGTCTGCAATGGTGTATTTGTTGGCTACTCAAAGAGAGATGTGGGGTGATAAGGTTTACTTAGAGAGTGCTTATTATTTGCACGGTTATTGGGGGATCTTGGTTGATAGATATGAGGAAATGATTGAGAATTATCATCCAGGTTTAGGTGATCATCGTTGGCCGTTGGTGACTCACTTTGTGGGATGTAAACCTTGTGGGAAGTTCGGGGATTACTCGGTCGAGAGGTGCTTGAAGCAGATGGATAGAGCATTCAACTTTGGGGATAATCAGATTCTTCAGATGTATGGATTTACTAACAAAGCTTTGGGTAGTAGAAGGGTTAAGAGAGTTCGAAACGAGACCGGTAACCCCCTCGAGGTGAAAGATGAGCTTGGACTACTTCATCCGGCTTTTAAAGCCGTTAAGGTATCATCCTCTTGATGATATATGCTTTATATGATATCTTATCATGCTAAGTGATAGTTTGTGTATGCGGTGAGAATCTTATGTTTTAGGTCTGGAGAAATAGTTGCTATTGGTCTGGTGTATGGAGCTTCGTCTCCTTTTATTCGAATCTTCCATGACCTGATTATGTTCAGAGAAAAAAAAGGGTCTGGAGAAAAAAAAAGGGTCTGGAGAAATAGTATTCTTTGTTCCTTATCTAAGTTATGAGTTCGTTAATCAATGCTTTCCAGAGGAAAACTTAGCCCATACTTTTGTACGCAGCTATTTGTATTTGTAGCATATCAGCAAACTTGGTTCTGTCAATATTTGAACATGGTGATACATTGTCGATCGAATATGCTTCTAGGGCAAGTTAAATGAAAATAGATTGCGGCGGATGCTCCGATTTTAGAAACATGTAGTTGAATGAGGCATTTAACGGTGATCATTAGTCTCTTTCTCGTTCGTTATCATTTGTTCCTTTGGTTAGGACTATTTTAGATCCCTATGAAGGAAACTGAGGTTAAGAATGAGGAATAGGAGATGAGTCTTGCAAGGAAGAAGATGATAGCATGCTCTGCAGTTTCTCACTTTTTATCATTTTAATGGCTGATACTTATGTTGCTCCAGCTCTCTCTTTTTCTTCGAATACCTGTCAAATATTCGTGTTTGATACATATCTAGATATGGGTGTCAGGAATGTGTCGGGGTATGATATCCTAAACACACGGAAAATCGAATAGACTCATGTCGAATATATAACCTTACCATATACCAGGGTAGTTCACAAGTATAAATAGCTGTAATAAGCGAACATCTTTTCTGTTCATCATGGACTTATTCATTCTCGTTTTAAGTATGGATGTCGGACACTTGCGTTTGATAGTCATTTAAATACGAATGTATACGTACTTATATCTGATGACCTTTCTATATTCGTGAAAAAACTTGAACATATTCGTATTGAACACGTACTTAAATCTGATACTCAAGTAGTAAAATAGCTGAAGAATGTGTGGTTCCTTTTTCAGCTTATTTTGACGTCCATGGGCAGGGTAGGTAAATAGGCTTCGGCCGGCTACTATAGATGAACTTAAGATAATAAAATTCCAAACCCCTCCCCCCCTCCCACCACACAAAAGGGTAGATTACATTTTTAACACATAACCTATATGTTTCGATCCGTTTTAATATCTAAGTTTTTAATTTTTTTTAATATCTAAGCTTTCAATTTTTTCAAAATCATACTTAACGTTTAGTTTATGTTTCGTTTTAAGAGCTGTTAAAAACTTAATGGGTGAGTGACACATTTTTTATGGGTAAATTATATCATTCATCACTCAAGTATCTTCTCACTCTTATTTTGGTAAATAAAGTTTAATTTTTTTTTAAATTTAATTACTTAACTTTCAAATTATTCCTAATTTAATCACTCCAACTTTCATTTTTAACTAGATATTAATAAAATAATAATAAAAATGTTGTGTCATAAAAATTATTAATAAAATAAATTAGAGTGATTAAAATAGGAGCAATTTGAAAGTTGAGTAGTTAAATTGAATTTTTTTAAACTTTTAATAAAATCATTATGTCAATCTATATTATTATATGTTTGGGAAAAAAGGTTAAACTATGATTTAATCTAATTACATATATAAATGAAATTGAAATATTTAAAAGTTTAGATATCAATTTAATATTAGGTATGCCTTCTCTGAATAGGAGGAGTCACTCCTAACCTAAACTTTTATGTAAAAAAAAACTAAACATAATATTTTTTTTCGTGCCACGATGTAACATTGTAACTTATAAAATTGTCTAGAACTGAATTAATATAATAAATCAGCTAACTAAATATGATTTGTTAGGTTTATTTTATTTTTATATTTTATGTATCTTTTTTGTTTTTCATATTCAAATTTAAATTATCCCGTACAAAATATAATATACCTTACTATTTCATGCAATACTCCTTATTGCCCTCCATTTTCATGTTTGGTTCATAATTTGCCATTGCGTGTTGCAGTTACAAAACAGGGTTGACCAGAATCCACATACACATACAAAAAGAAAAGAAAAAACGCCTGATCAATCAAATATTATACTAGAAAAGGGGGGGGGGGAACAGATACAAACAGACTAAAATGAGATAAAAATATTAGTTTTTTTCCTTAACATAAATCGTTAGTATTATTAAAAACTAAAAATATTCAAAATTATAATAAGGATTTATAACTATCGTCATAAATTAAATATATAATTTGAACATTTTTCTATAACAATGAAATTAACCACTTTAGATCATAAAAGACATACATGAAAAATGTTAAAAATCTAACTAAACTACTCGAACAAAGAATAATTACAAACAAATTTGACTGCATCGGCAAACAAACTACTAAAGAAGATTAAACTATTGAAAGACCACTGAAAACCGCAAACTAGAGCTAAGTGTAGTGAAAAACTATCTACGAACGCAAAATCACGTATCCAAATTCAATCCGAAAATCCATTGCATAAGAGATCAATTGGATTACAAATAAACGCCATCTTCATCAATCGTGATATCTTTAAATCCAACAAAAATATTGAAAAAACGTGCTATAAAGATAGAAATAAATGTGTCACCAACACAAAATTATTCTTATTAAAAATTAAAAAATGAGATAAAGAGAGAAGAAAACCAAATTGACAGTGGACAATAATATCAAATTTAATGACGTTGTTTATTAAATAAAATCAAAGAAGAAAAATTTTGATAAACTTGTAAGAAGGCTAGAAAATGTAAACCACCAAATTAAACAACAGAGAAACGATGACATATATACATATGTATGTCTTATACATATCTTCATCACACCAGAAGGGGAAGCTTCATACTCTCTAACTAAGATTATCCATTTATTGCAACTGTTTTTCCATTTTACAAACGAAGAAACAGGAGACGGCGTCGGCGGACAACATTTAACCCCGGCAGCGAGCTATGGCGCTGCAGCCTCGGTTGTATGGGTTGGCTTGCGCTCCCGGCTGACAGTTATAATACGACGCGCCCCTTAGAGAGCACGGCACAGTGTCCCTCTGAAGTGCTCCGTAGCTTATGTACTGTGTGTTCGCCGTTTGCAACATGCGCCTGGTTAACTCAAGCCCATCATCCATGTCGTTTGCCATGCACTCGGCTGTTGACCCCCGACAGCTGCTTCCGGACTCGTTCGTCGTCGTCGGTATCCAGGTCAAGCCGTGCACGCCGCTTGCAGAGTAGGCCGACACGGAGGTGATATGAGTCGCGGTGCCGAGGAGGAGTAAGGAAATGGTGAGGAGAAAACCAGAGGTACTAGCCATTGCTTTGTTTTTTTGTATATATTGCAGTTTGTTCAACTGGCAGAATGGTGTGCAACTTGTTTTTAAAGCGAATGATAAAAGGAGTTTGAAGAATGGCATTGACGAACTCGTTATTTACTAAAATGCCACTTTACATGACCCCCACCAATTGACCAGGGGTAATAAATTTGGGATTTGGCACATTAAATATTTTATATAAATGTATATCTACGATTGCGTATTTAATTGAATTTGTAAAAAAAAGTATTTGATCGAATTAAGTCAAAAAATTTCAAGTTAATTGAATTGACAAATCATATTTTTTTATTTAAATTTCTTTTGACTTCGGTTTATGAAAATTTGAGTTAATATTTTAAGTTTTTGTTTAAATTTATTTGTAAATATTTATAATTTTTCTAATTTAAACAACTTCCTATAGTCATATATATAATTTGCATCATATTTTTCACATGTGATACACACATCATGCAAAATTGAGGGACTTGAAAATCAATCCATTAATTTCTAAAAATTTGAATTATTCGAGTTCTATTTTATAATTCAAATTTTATTTAAAAATATTCGAGTCTAATTGAAAATTTTAATTTTTTTCGAATCGAGTTAAATTTTTCTTACTTCTACATAAACTACATATTAATTTGCGTTTGATTGGTCGAATATTGTATTATATTTTGTTATATTATACTTTAAAATGATATTAATATTTTGAAAATTCCATAAGTTTTCAATTTTTTTATTTATCTATCGATCAAATGAACCAACTGAAATAAATTAAATAATATATTATATCCAATAATCCACCTTGTAATCTTAGATTCTCCTATTCTTATTACAAAGCCTAATCTTACATTCCTTAATGTAAATATGAAGAAAAATGATGGTTTATCGGCACAAAGGAAACAAATGCAAAGTTCTCAAAGTGGTTTCAAATATCCTTAGTTCTACCCAACAACCTTAAATGGTTTGCCTGTCCAAATCCTTTGACTATTAATAACAGTAATGAGAAAGCTTAACCTAACCCACCAATCGAGATAAATTCGTGTCCACCCTAAAATATAAATTTCTTTAGGTTAGTAGTTCATTTTACTGAGGGCGTTTATCCTGAAATTTTATTTGTGTCAACTTCATATAAAAAATTTATGTTATTAATACACACGTGACCACCCTAAAAAATATTTCTGGATTCACCGCTATTAACGATGGAAGAAGCAAAGATATGATTTACTACTCTTTTTTTCATTCTTCAATAAACCTCATTAGTTCAATTGACTCATTTACATGTTCAACAAACGCCTAGATAACTATTTTGAAAGTTATTGGGAAATTCTTTTTATATTTTTGTTAGCCTTTCCTAAACCTAATTCAAGAAAATGACTCAATCAATGGTGATGTTTTTAAAATCCTAGAGGTTTGGACAAAAGATAATGGGTTGGAATTTTTTACCATTCTTTTTTTTTTGGTCAGAACTGTTAATCTAAATTTATTTATGTCTTAACTTGAAAAATTTATGATTCGAACTCGATATAAATTCATTAAAAAAAAATCACGATTCAAATATATTATTTTATCTTTATTTTTTTAGTTAAAAATAATAATTAAATAACTACAATAGAAATGTGAGAATAAAGAAGTAACCAAATAGATAATTTATCTGTAATTAAATGATTTAATTTCATTTATAAAATTAAAGAATACTCATTAGAATCTCAGTAAAAATCAAGATTTAGATCTCACCAGTGATCCTATTCAATTTTTAAAAGAATAAAAATGATTGCATTAGATGGTTTTTTTTCTTTTGTTGCATTTCCTAAGATAAGAAATGGAATGTTATTTTTGTGCTTTATCTTAAAATAAAAGTAATATTTTTTATAAGTTTGAGTTGATTTTAAGATGAATTTGTTTAAAAATTTTCTGAATTATTAACAACGCACACACATCCTACATAAATCATCTTAAAATAAAATAATGTTTTGATATTTTCTCTCGCATTTTAATAGCTTGATTTCTTAAAATTTAATGTTTTCTATTTAATTATTCACTAATTTTTAAGAAATAAATTATGTACATCTGGATTTGATCACCAAGTAGTTGTTCTTCACTTGGTTGGTCCAAATATCAGTCCTTTGGCAACGAATTCATCTGTGCGTTTGTTTGAATACTAATACTATTTTTAAATGGTTTATTGGATGCCACGAGCGAAAGGGTTGAGATGGCCGAGTTGGTCTAAGGCGCCGGATTAAGGTTCTGGTCCGAAGGGCGTGAGTTCAAATCCCACTCTCAACGAGTTCTAATTTTTACTTCTTCCTTTCGTTTGTTGTTTTTCAATGGGTTAATTACATAACATAACCTTAAGCTAACATGTGGAGTTATTATGGTGTAAGTGACCTTTCCCTAGATTCATGTGAAATCTAAGTGCGTGGGCATTGAGATCAAGTGGATGGTACGATACCTCTCTAGGATAAATTCATAGGGACGATTTAGGACCGTAAGTGACCTTTTCCTAGATTCATGTGAAGTCTAAGTGTGTGGACAATGAGATCAAGTGGATGGTACGATATCTCTCTAAGATAAACTCATAGGGACGGTTTGGGGCCTGTTGGTCTCATATCACGCTCTTGGTTGAAGAATGGAGTTACCCTCTAACGTTTGTTATGTCCTGGGATATCTCCCTTTCAAGAGTATTTGGGCTTTGAGATTATATCGTGGCTTATGTACTTGGAAAAGTTAATGCAAATTGACTAACGAATTGAGACCTTGAGCTAGCATGTGGAGTTATTATGGTGTAATTGATTTTCTTCTAGGTTCAAGTGGAGTCTAGGTGTGTGGACATTTGGTTCAAGTGGATGATACGATATCTCTCTAAGATAAATTCATAGGGATAGTTTGGGCCTATGGGTCCCATATCACACTATTGGTTGAGGAGTATGATTGCCCTTTAGTATTCACTATGTCTCGCGAGATCTCCCTTTCAAGAGTACTTGTGACTTTAAGATTATATTGCGACTTATGGACTATAATACGTGACTTGTCTACTTGGATAAAATAACATGGATTGACTAACGAATTAAGGGAATAATTATTGTCAAGTGTGATCGATTTTGTGAGAGTTAATATAAGACATGAATCATTGTGAGGAAAGTTGACTTGTTTGAGAATTGTCCCACTCAAATATCGCACGGTGTAGTAATAGGACCGAAAAATTATGTCTGTAACAAATTTATCAAAGCTTTTAATATAATAACTCTACTTTTTTTTCTCCCGTTCCATTTGTTGTTTTTTAATTAGATAATGATGGAATAAAATATCTTAGAATGGCAGGACATGATAAGTGGATAGATTTTAGATAGGGATTAATTAATAAAATACAGAGATATAACAAATAATACGTATAAATTGTCATATAATGTTATGTTTTTCGAGAGAAGTTCAATGGAGGAGAGAAATAAATTAAAATTAATTGTTACGCAATAAATTAACAAAACTATTAACAATGTACTATTTTGATTAACCGCTAATTACCGTGTCCTAATTTCACTACAACAATAAATATCTGCACTATGAAGATTTTGATTAATTAGTTAATAGATCGGATATCAATTAATTTTCACTGTTAATTTGGCATGTTAATAGGTGCGGCTTAGCATTCGAATATCGATTTCCACTCGTTTCGAGTTCTGTGGTAGATGAATATTACTCTTTTGGATAATGGCATAGAAGACATCCGAGATGAATCCGCTGAAAAATTACATGTTACTGTTCCCTTCCAGTGGTGATTCCTCGTGTTGGAGGTCAGTCCGCATCCGGTAATGCGCAATGAGAGTAGGGTTGCACATTTGTCGGATTTCAATCCGATCCGGTTCGGTTTTTATCCGATCCGGTTTTTTCCCATAGAAAAAAAACCGGTTTATAAAATAACTGGTTCGGTTTCTAACCGGTTTGGAGGGCCGTATATCCTAACCGGTGTAACCGGTTTCGGTTTTAAAAAAACCGATTTTTTTAAAAAACCGGTTATAAAAAAACCGATTTTAATATTCCAGATTGCTCATAGGGAAACCGATTTCCCCCCAAGGGGGTACCGATTCCTCACTGAATGGTTTGGCTCCGAGATTTCCAGAATGCTCGGAGGGAACCGATTCCCCCATAGGGGTACCGATTCCCCCCTATTCAACGGTCGAAATATTTGAATTTTACACTTAGGGAACCGATTCCCTATGAGAGGAAACTGATTCCCTATGAGAGGGTACCGATTCCCCCACGCTCCAAGCATTTTTATTAAATGTTTTCACACTTAAACGGCTATATTATCTTCATTAATTATCACTAAAGTTCAGAAGTAATTCAAGGTGTATTTAAGCAAGCTTAGAAGCCATTGATCAAAGACAAGAAACATCAAGCAACTAGAATCAAGAGAGAATCAAAGAGAAAGCATCAAACCTCAAGTTCGATAAATTTAAATACTTAATTGAAATACTTAATTAACTCAACATAATTGAAATACTTAAATACTTCCAAGTTTGATAAATTCAAATACTTAAAAAACTTCCAAGTTCGATAAATTCAAATACTTAAAAACTTCAAGTTCGATAATTGAAACAAAGTTTACGATAATTGAAATAAAGTTATAAAATAAACTACATTGCCATCTCTTCTTCATCATCTTCGCCTTCTTCGTTTGGAGGGGATATTCCAAGTTCAACTTCTTCAATGTGTAAGTTTGCTTCCAAATCGGCATCAATTGCATCTTCTAGGGTGGTGATATGTTGCTTACGAGCCGCTCCATCCAAATAATCCTTTAAACAAATGCATACTTCCACCGACTCGGGACTTAGTCTTGATCTCCGTTGCGATATAACCCTGCCACTAACAGAAAAAGCGGATTCCGAAGCTACCGTAGAAGCTTGGACGGTTAGTAAATCACGGGCCATGGCGGCTAGAATCGGAAATTGTGCTTCCTTTTCTTTCCACCAAGCCAAAATATCCAAACCTTCAAACTCTTCAAATGTCATTTTTTATAGAAAATCGCATGACATGTAATTTCCCAACTCGCTACTTGGGGTGGTAGTACGTGATCGTTTGGATTGGGAATTTACAAGAGTGTTAAAAAGATTCAAATTTATGTTACTTGGACGTATACTAGATGATTCCGCATTCATTCTCATTTGATCGTGTATTACACTACTTGATCCGTATTTAGTTAAATAAATTGCAAACATGTCTCGAAAACATTTGTTAAAATAATTTATTTGGTTTTGGACAAAGTTGGGTTCATCATCGGTTAGATTAAAAGCAAACGCAATTTGTTCAATTAGTGTTTCAACCCCACCAACATTTAACGTTGGGTTTAAAGCGGCGGCACAAGTAAAAATGGGGGGAATCTCCTTAAAATATTTTAAAAGTTTTTCCTTCATTGCAAAGCCAATTTCTTGGAAAACTTCGGTTTCAAATTCAAAGTCATTTAGTCGGGTAGCCAACAAAATATTTGATTAAGAACCACGGGCTAGTAGGGTAATAAAAACCGGATAAAAAGTTGTTGCATTTTAAAACCTCAAGCAAATCGGTTATTTTGGCTATAGTTTCCAACTCGAATCCGGAAAATGTTTGGGACATGACCCCTCGAAAAGCCGATCGTGAAATGTTTGCAATGTTTCCCTTTGCTTTAAGGCAGTATGCATCATCATCCAAGTTGAGTTCCAACGAGTTGGACAATCCAAATTAGGACCCAAAGCTTTTTTATTAACGGACTTACAAAATCGTTTATAATCATTTAGTCTTTTGTTGTTGTTACAAAGAACCGATTTTATCATTGTTTTAAATTCTAATCTAATCGGCTCAATAACCTCCAAACTGGCTTGCACGGATAAATTAATTATGTGTGCAACGCAACGGGTATGAAAAAACGCACCGTCTAAAATCGGTGAAAGTAATATTTTCAATCTTGGAACCGCGTTTGTATTATTCGATGCATTATCAAAGGATATAGAAAAAACTTTATTTTCTAATTTATAAAGACAAATTACCCTTTTTAAAAGTGTAAATAAATTAGCACCGGTATGCGGCTCACCGAATAATTCAAACGCGATTGTTCTTTTCATCATTTGCCAATTATCTTGATCTAACCAATGTGATGTAACGGCTAAAAAAGAATTTCCGGTATTATGAGGGGAACTTCAAACGTCACATGTAAGCGACACACCATAACGGTGTTCTTCGAATCCTAAAATCATTTTTTCCCTCGCCGTACGCCATATTTTTATAGCATCTCTTCTAAGGGTAGTAATACTTACTTGAGTATAACGTGGTTGCATTAGTTGTTGAATTGTTGTCGTGAAATCTTCATCATCAAAGTGGTCGAACGACAATGCTTTTGTAATCACGAACTTTGTAAACGCTTCTTGTAATTTTTCGTTGTCGTAAACAAAAACACCACCTTGCGGTGTAAGATTCGATTGACTAGGATCCGATCTTGAGCGAAGTGCCTTGCATGATTTTGTCAAATGGTTCTTCAACGTTTGTGTTTCCTTCCGATGCAAGAAACTTTAGACAAAGTTTACAACACGCCATCCTCGATCCATTTGACATCTCACATAAATCGTAGTGATCCCAAATGTCTTTGTTTCGAGTGTGTTCGATCACTCTCACGACTTCAAGGTTTCCCCCGACGGAAGATTCAGTCGTGTTACTCATGATGAACAAAAAATTACAAAAATAAGATTTGAGAGATGTTTAAGTGTTGTGTAATAAGATTTGAGGAATTTGTAATCAACCAAATACATCTCCAACCTATTTATACATGTTTAGGGTGGTAAAATGGTAATTTTTTAAAGAAAAAAACGGTCAAAAACGGTCACAAAATCCCCCCCAACGGCTATATTAACGGCTAGTTTTTTAAACCCAGACCGGTTTTTTTTCCCGGATAAAAACCGGTTTTTTAATCGGTTTTTTTCAAACCGGTTTTTTATCCGGTAAAAAAACCGGTCTAGGTTTTTTTCTCCAAACCGGTTAAAATAACCGGTTTAAAAAAATCCGATCCGGTTAAAAAAAACCGGTTTTTCCCAAATCCGGTTTCGGATATTTTTTTTGCAAAATCGGATATTCGGATTTTTTGTGCACCCCTAAATGAGAGGCTAAATGCATGGAACCGACCATTGAAAGTTAGGTATCACTTTGAAAAATAAAATAATTAGTTGATCAAAACGTAACTGTGAAAATACTTGGGTGACTAAATATGTAGTTTATCATCATAGCTTTTTTAACATAGGGGTAGAATCGTAAAATGGCTTGTCCATTTCTCCCTCAACGAACCCTAACCCTAATTTGAATTTTTTTGCTATATATATGCGCGATAGCAGAAACTAATTTCGCAGTTGAAAGACAACGCCATTGATTTGCAACTTGTTTAATTTTTTCAAATCTCTAATTCTGTCCAATTTCTTCCGTTTAGTTTTATCTACGCTTGTTTTTTTTCTCCTTCTTCTCTTCGTTAGCATTTTTTTAATGAAAAATGGATGAAGGGGGCGATGATGTTGAAAACTACCTATTTTATGAATGGGTTTTCACCATTTTTCGTGATTAGAAATTCACCAATGGATCCTTCTGAGCCGCCTTCTTTCTTCTTCTTCCTCTTCTTTGGTTAATTTCGTGATGGCTCTATCTCAATTTTCTCTTTCTTTTCTATAAGGGGGCGATGATTGAAAACTACCTATTTTATGAATGGGTTTTCACCATTTTTCGTGATTAGAAATTCACCAATGGATCCTTCTGAGCCGCCTTCTTTCTTCTTCTTCCTCTTCTTTGGTTAATTTCGTGATGCTCAGAGCCGTTGAGATGAGGATATCTTTGTTCTGAATTTTTTTTTATTAATGTTGACTTGCAAATCAGACTACAATTATCTGATCATATGGCTCTATCTCAATTTTCTCTTTCTTTTCTATAAAGTTATTTCTCAAAATTATATGTTTTCATTCGATTTTTTTCTAATTAGTTTTGAAATAATTTTAAAAAAATAATTTTGGGATAATAAATAATTTGATTATTAGAATCAAATTTCATATATTCTTATTATAAATATTTTTTTTAATAATTATAATATAATATCCGTTTTAAAAAATTTCCCATTCATAAGCTATGCGCTTAACATATTCACTTATAAGTATGGTTGCTTAATTTCAAAAGACATCAACATTTTCTTTTACCACCAGGGATAATTTTCAAATATTTGTTTAGCATTATTTATGAATACAAACACTTAAGATTATGCTGAATGGAACCCTAAAAGTAGGCAAAATTTTCAACTGTAAAACGTCACCGGGGTGGACAATAACAGATATATTTCTAGTTGAAATAATGGGGAAAACAAACAATTTTGAGATATTATCACTGGTGTTTGAATTCCAGTTGGGAAATGAACACCATAGCCATTGAACCTTATGCAGCTTCCCTGTTTATGCAACTGCACAATTCATTCCACCTGAAATCAGATGAATCAGCAACAAACTCATCAAATTTGGCCACAACTCAGACTAACTTGACGATGATAGAAGAAACATCTCTCCCACAAACAGCATAACCAAGGATAAACCATCAAAAGGGAAAATTCCTCCTACTATAAGGTTATGCTTATCAACTAGTTTTTCTTTTTTTAATGGCCAATCAAGAGCCTTTTTCACAGAATATATAACTTCCTCATTTTCATTCCTCGACAAACTTGATTTAGCATGTGCAAAAGCAACTCGTGATTTCCTTGAAGCTTCCATGGCATAATTTACATCCTGTGCCTGCAAAATGTATCACATTTGGTTTTGGTCACCATGGACATGGATCACTAAACTTGTAGAGGATATACAAACCAATAAAGAATAAAATGACATAATCGATGATAATTCATTAGCAAGACTTAAGAACCTCTTGTGCTTTAAAAGCACAAGTTTCGAAACATGTGTTCAATTTTAGCCTACAGAAACCAGTAGGTATAGGGGGTAGAAAAGGTTTGCGAGAACGTGAAAAAAAAGCTTTTGGGCATTAGACCACAAAAAAATTGTTATGGGGGAAAAGTTTAGTATGTGTTGGTGAGACGGGAATGTTCAGTAATGCTTTATCACTCATAACATTAAAACCACATGAATTGCACTTTCAAAATCACATAACTACACTTACAAAATTGAGCAACCGCACAAAGTTAGGACGATTTCCAGCGACCTGGGGAGAGCTAACACCTTTTGGAAAAGCAATTTTGTCAGCTGCTGTTGGGTGGTTTAAATTATCAACATCAGAGGCAGAAGAAGAAGGAGACCCACCTGATATTGAAACATCCATCAATATCAAGAAAAAGGTAATTAGCTGTCATTTCTTCTCATTCAGCAAAACTTAAAAGTATTTATAAAGCACTTTAATGTCCACAGATTAGCATATAGCAGAAAGAAAAAAAAGAAGGGGGGGATCTAGGGAGAGAGATGACCAGGCTTGAAAATATCTTTTATGTAAAGCCTAAATTTAGGTCCAAAGGCAAATTTGTAAAACCATGTTATATGTCAAATAGCAACTACAACACTAAATTCATCTTCCCCACTTCCTATAGACAAATGGAAACACATTCATGGTGTGTAAGCAAGTAAACTACTCGTTTAAGCAAAGCTATCAATTTCTGCTCTGCTTCTAAAATGTAACCTTCTCATGCAGAGGTATCTTCACAGATTAAGCAACAAGATTCCAGAATAAATACGAGAGGCTGCTGCTCCTTGAACACTAAGTGCAGAAGAACCAGTGACAACGATTACAAGTTTATGGGCTAGACAGACAAGCAACAAGGAATACAGCAGGTATAATCACTGGGTTCTTAGAATTACCAGGAGGAAACATTTGTAAAGCTGTCTGCAACTCACGCCGATCTCTACTTGCATTGGCATGAGAGACATGTTGGAAGGAAAAGTAAAAAAAAGGGGGCTTATTTTTTTTAGAAATTGGGCACCGGCTTGGGTTTTCAACAATGGGATTTTTAATTAAAATAGAAATAGGGTTAATTACAAGATTAATCTCTAAGCTTCAACTAGAAATACCCTAGTTCATTTAGCTTCAAAATCATCCCAAAATCATTTCTTTCTCCCAATATTAGAGAGCTTTCTTGTGAGTAGTGAGTGTTTTATAAACACCTGTAAATTTTCTCTTTAGTAAAAGATCTGCAGCAGTCCGGAGACGTAGGCATAATTGGTTGAACTTCGTTATCAATTTCGGGTATTATTTTTCCGCTTTTATTTCGCATTCTCACTAATCTGGTTATAGGAAAATTACTCGTACTCGGTTTATTTCCTAACAACTGGTAATCAGAGCTTTTGATTGTGAATTTTGTCAATTTTTTGTGAGGTACTATTAATTACTATTCACGTGAATAGTGAATTTTGTGAATAGTAAAAATTTTGTCGACGATACGAATTTGTCGACGGAGGTGTTTTAATACACTGTGGTTCATAAGAATTGTCGAAAACAATTCAAACGAAGCTATATTCGAGTGGGAGCGATGACTGCAGACGAAGGGAAGGTGAAAATTGAAAAGTTCGATGGTGTGGACTTTGATTTTTGGAAGATGCAGATTGAAGATTTTTTGTACCAGAAAAATCTATATCAACCTCTCTCAGGAAAGCAACTAGAGGGTATGAAAAATGAAGACTAGGCTCTTCTCGACAGACAAGCCCTCGGAGTTATCCGACTGATGTTGTCCCGAAATGTTGCTTTCAGCATAGCAAAGGAAAAGACCACGACGAGTCTTATGGCGGCTCTCTCCAGTATGTATGAGAAGCCATCAACTTCGAACAAAGTTCACTTGATGAGGCGATTATTCAATTTGCAGATGGCGGAAGGGGCATCAGTGGCTCAACACCTAAATGAACTCAATACAATCACAACGCAGTTGAGTTCAGTGGAAATTGAATTCGATGAAGAAGTTCGAGCTTTAATTCTCTTATCATCTCTACTAGACAGTTGGAATGCTACTGTTACAATAGTCAACAGCTCGCCGGAAAACAACAAATTAAAATTCGACGATATTCGAGATCTGGCATTGAGTGAAGAAATTCGACGGAGAGAATCGGGTGAAGCATCAAGCTCCTCAGCCTTGCACACGGAGTCTAGAGGGAGAACTTCAAAAAGAAATTCAAATCGTGACAGATCGAAATCCAGAAAGGGAAAATCAAGAAATGGAAAAAAATATTTTACCTGTTATAATTGTGGCAAGAAGGGTCACTTTAAAAGAGATTGTCGAGCACTGAAGAAAGATACCGGCGTACATGAATCTGCAACATGACAAAGGAGACAGGTGATGCCATGATTCTAAGCGTCAACAGTTCGATTGAATCATAGATCTTGGATTCAGGGGCATCTTTCCATTCTACCCCATGCTAAGAAATCATGGAGAACTATGTCAGTGGTGATTTTGGGAATGTTCATCTAGCTGATGATGAAACCTTAAAGATTGTAACACCCTTAACCCATACCCGACCAGGATACGAGTCCAGGATGTCACATTGACCAGTCAAAGCATATACTTTTATAAAAACCCATAGAAAATTTAAAACTTCTATTCTATAAAGTAATTCTTTTACATAAACATGTTTAAAACCTTAACAAACTCCATCAGAGCGTACATGTATAATGACTTAGTTACATGCCAACATACTAAATTATATGACAAGACATACTTTACAAAATATTTCTGATCTGAACTTTGCGCGGAGATATGCTGCTTTACGGATCTGAAGCTTAATCTTCTGACTTATCCACACCTGCGTGTAAGACACTTACACGCTAAGTCATAGACTTAGTGAGACATGTAAATACACAATGCAAACTACTAAATACATACATATATCATATAATACACACTTTAATTACATATCTATTGAACCAATCATTACTTATTTTCTTGTCATTAATTCTATTCTATCAAATGAACATATATTGAACATAAACACATAATATAACTTCAAAACGCAACAATACATGAATAATTACTATGATCATATCATACATAACCACATAACATCTCATATCACCGTTACACATATGCACTTGTTACCATTATTATCATGTAATCCTAACATATCAATTATACATGTCACATATCACATGTACCATTTCACGAGAAACACACATATCATTATATCCAATTATGTTTTCTTTTCAAAGCCCATACACACTATTGAGAACTTAAGGTATGTGAGTACATAGAGGTTGTGCACAATGCTGTCACCACAACTCGTATAAATCCCATTAGGGGCGCGTAGAATTTGTCCCGAAGGACCACTTAGATGTCCCGAAGGATCACATATAACACATATATCCCGAAGGACCACTATGTCCCGAAGGACCGCGTAGACCCTCGACTCTTGGCATGCCAACTATACCTATAGCTCTCATAAAACATGACATGGGCATTATCTTTTACCTCATTACACATTCACATATTCATATCACATAGTTCTTTCACATAGCTCTTTATCACATTTCATATGATCACATAGTCACGTAGTTTACTTTCACATAACAATTTTTTCATGAATTTCACATTATTCATCCTTTTCACACATGGTCACATCACGTAGTTCACGTATACCTTTTTTCTCATATGCATATAACATATTATTTTTTATCTTTTAACTTATATTACATATGCATGTAATCTTATGACTTATTATCAATATCTCATAGATCACTATCATACAACACATATTCGCATATACATGTTCTCATACAATCCCGTTATTCAATTATAACATCTAATATATCTTATTATACTAACATGTATTCATGTCATTCATTTCACATACATAACATATCATAGAGCATTCTAATAGAAACACATATGAGTCATATTATTTTCACATATATTTTATCAGATATCTCATGATCACATGACCTATTATCATAAATACAAACATTTACATAGTTCACACATAAAGATGCATTCAACAATTAGACATATGCATTTTCTCATATACCATACATCTAACACCATATCACTACATGTTTATGCTTTAGCACTTATATCATATAATATCAGAATTAGACTCATCGCAAGTCTTAATTCCTTAAAATAATGTACACTTACTATCATGTACCCACCTGATCACCAATAACACTACCAAGCTATTTCTCTTTCTTGTGTATCTTACTCTGACGACCTATCCGAACTTTGCTTTCGATCGATGTCTACACAATCATGTATTAATACTTATCAGTATCCAATTCTATACATATGTAAGCCTTCTTATAACACTATAACAGTTCACTATCCCTCATAATCCACCATAATTCTTGAATCAAAGAATTTCATCAAATTTTCCATGTATTCTCAATTCAATTCTATCACCCCTAACTTCTTAATTAACCCTTTGACAAATCAAATCCATTATTAGAACTTCAAAAACATTTCTATAACAATAGTTCATTTCTGAACTCTTAATAGAAATTCCTTTCTATTTCTTTATTCTTGGTGTTTTAAACTTATATAAGCTTTCCTTAAGCTTATATAACACTCAAAGAATAAAACACAACTCAAATATTCAAGAATTAACCATCAAAATTAAAACTCACCTTTGAGGCTTGAGCATGAACACACGAGAAGAAGAAATAAAGAAGAAAAAAGAAGAGTTCCAGATAACTCTCCAAACCCACGTGTTTCACTCTTATAAAAGGGAGGAAAAATATCTTTTAAGCTAAAATTACCATAATGCCCTTATAATACTTTCATATTTACCCTTTATCCAATATTAAAATATTCTTATAAAAATCCTTGAATTTTTAAATTTTCATAAATTGATCTCCAAAATTTGACTAAAATTTCATTTTAGTCACTGACCCAGATTTCGGGATGTTACAAAGATCGTCGGAAAAGGAGACATCCGACTAAATTTGCCAAACCAGACCACCTGGAATCTGAAAGGAGTGAGACATATTCCTGGCCTCAAAAGAAATTTGATTTCTGTAGGACAGTTTGATGGAGAAGGATATAGTACAACCTTTTCAGGTTGTGAATGGAAGATTACCAAAGGAGCACTCGTCATTGCTCGTGGTAAGAAGATTGGTACTCTCTATGTAACCTCAAATTTAGAGAATATCATTGCAGTAACAGTTACTGATGGAAAATCAAACATATGGCACCAAAGGCTTGGCCATATGAGCGAGAAAGGGATGAAGACACTTTTGTCAAAAGGGAAGCTGTCGGATCTAAAGAATGTAAATGTCGGACTATGTGAGGATTACATCTTTGGCAAATAAAAGAAAGTCAGTTTTGCAAATATTGACAAGAAACCAAAAGCAGAAAAGTTAGAGTTGGTTCATACTGATGTATGGGGACCATCTCCAGTTCCATCTCTTGCAGGCTCACTATATTATGTCATCTTCATCGATGATTCTACGAGGAAGGTGTGAGTTTATTTTCTGAAGAGGAAATCAGAAGTCTTTGATAAATTCATAAAATGGAAGGCCATGGTGGAAAATGAAACTGGTTTGAAAGTCAAGTGGTTGAGGTTTGACAATGGAGGAGAGTGCATAAATAGTAGATTCAGAGATATCTGCGCAAATAATGGGATCAAAATGGAGACAACAGTTGCCATGACACTGCAACAAAATGGTGTAGCAGAGCGCATGAACAGAACTATGAATGAACATGCCAGAAGCATGAAGATACATGTCGGATTGCCCAAATTGTTATGGGCTGAAGCTATCAACACTACAGCTTACCTGATCAACCGTGGGCCCTCAGTTCCCTTGGATGGCGGAATACCAGAGGAAGTTTGGAGCAGAAAAGAAATAAACCTTTCACACTTGAGAGTGTTTGGTTGTATTTCTTATGTACACATAAATTCTGCTGAAAGAAGTAAACTTGATGCCAAGTCCAACAAATGTGTCTTTGTTGGTTATGGTGGTGATAAGTCCGGTTACCGGTTTTAGGACTACGAAAATCGAAAGATCATCAGAAGCAGAGACGTCATTTTCAATGAGAATGTGATGTACAAAGACATGTCAACCGTAGAATCAAGTAGCTCCAATATCGAAGCTGAAACAAAGGAATTTTTTGAGTTCGAGGAGATTTTTGGAAATGATGTTCAGATCAGTCCTGAAGTAGTTCAAGAAGAACCAGACACACCAGAACTAAGATGCTCCTCTAGAATTCCTAAACCAACCCAGCGTTATTCGCCTTCTTTGCATTACTTGTTGCTGACTGACAATGGTGAACCAGAGTGCTATGATGAAACAAAGCAGGTGGAGGATTTAGTCAAGTGGGATTCTTCCATGAAAGATGAGATGGACTCGTTTATGTCAAATCAGACGTGGGAATTAGCTGAATTACCATCAGGCAAGAAAGCACTTCATAACAAGTGGATTTACAGGATCAAAGAAGAGCACGATGAGAGCAAACGCTACAAAGCAAGATTGGTTGTCAAAGGTTTTCATCAAAAAGAAGATATTGACTACAATGAAATTTTCTCTCCAGTTGTGAAGCTGTCTACAATCAGACTGGTGTTGCAAATTGTAGCCGTAGAGAATTTACATCTTGAACAGTTAGATGTAAAGACAACTTTCCTTCATGGTGATTTGGAGGAAAAAATCTATATGAGGCAGCCAGAAGGCTTCATAGAGGCATGCAAGAAAAACCTGGTATGCAGGTTGAAGAAGAGCTTGTATGGTTTAAAACAAACTCCTAGACAGTGGTACAAGAAGTTTGATAGCTTCATGAGTAGCAATGGTTTTACCAGATTCCAAGCAGATCATTGTTGCTACATCAAGAGGTTCGACAACAACTTCATTATTTTATTATTATACGTTGATGACATGCTCATTGCAGGCTCATACATGCAAGAGATTATACACTTGAAGAAAAAATTATCGAAGCAGTTTGCTATGAAGGATCTGAGCGTTGCAAAGCAGATTCTTGGGATGAGGATTAAGAGAGACAAAAAGTCGGGGACTTTGATGTTATCACATGCTGAGTACATCAACAAAGTACTCTCCAGGTTCAACATGCAGGATGCTAAACCAGTAAGTACACCTTTAGTTGTTCATTTTAGACTCTCCAAAGAACAATCACCAAAGACGGAGGAAGAACGTGCACACATGGTGAATGTACCGTATGCCTTAACAATTGGAAGTCTGATGTATGCCATGGTTTGTACTAGACCAGATATTACTCATGCAGTGGGAGCTATTAGCAGGTACATGAATAATCTGGGCACTGGGAAGCAGTCAAATGGATCATTAGATATCTGCGGGGTACCACAAACAAAGCACTTTGTTTCAAAGGTGGAGATGCGATACTGACATGCTATGTAGATACTGACTTAGCCAGAAATGTCGACATCATAAGAAGCACTACAGGGTATGTCTATACACTAGGAGGAACCGCAGTGAGTTGGGTTTCTCAACTACAGAAGATAATTGCCCTCTCCACAACTGAAGCAGAATATATCGCTGTTACGAAAGCCAACAAGGAGATAGTCTGGCTCCAAAGTTTCTTGGAAGAGTTAGGCAAGAAACAAGAAAACAATGTCTTGTATTGCGATAGTCAAAGTGCTATCTATTTAGCAAAGAATCTATCTTTTCATTCCAGGACGAAGCACATACAATTGCGATATCATTTTATCCGGTCTCTTCTGGAAGATGGGATTTTGAAACTTGAAAAGATTAGTGGAGCTCAAAATCCGGTAGACATGTTGACAAAGACGGTGACCACGATCAGTTGGCATGCTAGAATAACAAGACTAGAAATGCTGTTGCATTGATCGAGGTGAGAATACATATTAAAATTAGTCTTCAAGTGGGAGATTGTTGGAAGGAAAAGTAAAAAAAAGGGCTTGACTTTTTTCAGAAATTGGAGGCACTGGCTTGGGTTTTCAACAATGGGGGCATCGAATTCGGTGCCCTAATTTTTAATTAAAATAGAAATAGGGTTAATTATGAGATTAGTCCCTAAGCTTCAACTATAAATACCTTAACTCATTTAGCTTCAAAATCATCCCAAAATCATTTCTTTCTCCTAATACTAGAGAGCTTTCTTGTGAGTAGTAAGTGTTTTGTAAACACCAGTAAAGTGTCTCTTTAGTAAAAGATCTGCAGCAGTCTGGAGACGTAGGCATAATTGGCTAAACTCCGTTATCAATTTCGAGTATTATTTTTTCGCTTTTATTTCGCATTTATTTCGCATTCTCACTAATCTGGTTATAGGGAAATTACTCATTACTCGTTTATTTCCCAACAAGACATAGATGACTCTAATATATGCCACCTCTGTACACTTGTAGGCCAAAGAAGAAGAAGACATGTCATTTAATCTCTCATATTCATGGGCACAAAACCTGAAAGATCAAAACAGACAAACAAAGATTAAAAGGTTAAGAAATAAACCATTCCAAAATAAAATGCAATAACATAATATTCCATGTTGCAAGAAACTTTTTAGCGAAACGAGATTAAGTTCCAAAAAAATGTTATAGAAAAATGTACTGTAGCACCTAAATATTTAACTTACTTGCAGAGGTTTGCAGTGCTACTATATATTTGCATAGACTGAAACATCTCTCCCTGTTTAGTATCCTCACTGTTGCAAGATTCTAGTAGAGAAGCACTATGTAGAAACTTCAATGTTGCCTGGAAGTAAGTGCAGTGCTCTCCTCATTTGATCCAGAGTTCTAATAGAAATTTTCAAAAGAAAAAAAAAGAAAAAAAAAGAAAAAAGAAGATAAAATCAAGCTTGATAGAGGCTAGGACAAAATGAAATTGCAACTAGGAAGCAACTGGGAAATAACAAGGAACAAACCTTGAGACTATCAGCTATGTGCTTTAAATCTTTAGCCTCCTTCAAGGCATTGGAAGATGCCTGATTTGAGGAATCCTTTCTCATTGGACTACGGGCATCAATGTCCCTGACCCTATGCCCACCAGATGTAGTATGTCTAGAACTACCATGTTGAGTCTCATTTTGATGATCAGCCTTCTTTATTTGTTTTTGTACCTTCTTCAATGCATCACCACCTAGAGATCCATCAGCTCCATTTCCCTTTTGGGATCCAGTAGGGCCGGGGCAGTGAGTCAGCATCTCATTCGGAATTCCTCCAAAGGGTGGTAATGACAGCGAGTTCCCTATCCCAGAAGCAATTTCAGCATGATCAGATTTGTCAGAGTGGGATCTCTTCATATACTTGCTAGCATTGCCATCCTGCGCAACATTCTGCTTTACAGTAGACATTACATCTTGACCTCCACTGACATCTCGTTTAGCATCTGAACAACCAATATTTGATCGACTCTCTCTTTTACTACTCTTACTGGAAGGTTTTCCCACAGATTCTTTATTATCATCAAAAAATCTCTTCTCACTTTCATTAGACTTAACTCCGAGCCTCTCCTGAAAATCATTTCTACTATCCCAAGGTTTTCCCTTCCGTGAAGGCACACGATCATCCGGTTCATCAACAGAATCAGATTTAAGTTTATGACTTCTATCCTTATACTTTGAGGAACCCTTGCCCTATTTTCTTCGCTGAGAGGCAACACCATTACCATGTTTTTTATTCCTATTTTCTTCATCATGGTGTTTATCCACTGTTGTCAATTCCCCAGCATATTTTGCCTCTTGGCCTAAATAATCAACAGTCCCATTCATAAATTGACCTCTTTTGAAATCAGGAGAAGATTCAATTGAAGCCTTAGCTCTACTTCCACCTAAATGATCATCATCCTTAACCTGAACATCAAGTATAGAAGAGTCAGGGGACCCATGTTGAGTTGCAAGAGAAGTTTTTCCCTTCCTTATACCAGACTTGTCACTCTGACCCTTATCTTCACAATCTGAGCACCTACTTGGAGTACCTGCACCAAAGAGACCAGCATCATGGGACTCATATTTACCTGTAACATTCTTCTTGATAATGGAAGCTTATCTGGATCAGCAGGTCTCATTGAAGATGAGGAAACAGATTTTTCAGGTGTGTCTTTTGTTTCAAGGATGCCAGGCTTTGATTTATGTGAATAAGAAAGCTTATATGAGCTTGTGGTTGATGCCAAGGAATGTTGGGAAGATGCAAAATCCCTTTTCAGTGAATCTGTACCACACAAGTTACCTTGGGACAGAGTGCTATCTAGTTCTTTCCCACTACGGTGATTCTTTGAATGTATATTTTTTTTCTCCAGCTTGCTACTTCTTTTACTTGCAGAGGAGGAATCCTTCCCCCCAGAAATAGATGTTCTGACCTTCTTTTCCTGCCTGTAGCCATTTTTGCTGAACTCTTCTTTCACAAACTCTCCGCTATCATCAACAACTTTCCTCTTTCTTGAAACTTCCCCACCATCAAAATTCACCAGATTGACTGATCCATCAGCCAAGGGAACCTGAACATTTTTCTTTGGTTTTTTACCTGAGACCCGTTGTCTGTCCTCCTTATCCAACTCTGGATCATTATAAGAAAGAAGGTCTCTATGTTTAAGATGATCCTTTCCTATTCATGTGGTTGGCAGATCGTTACTTGTGCTAGGACCCTTACCAGCCTGCTCAGACATACAATCTTCATGAGCAAGATGTGAACTTTCAGACTTAATTTTCTTGGACACCCTTAAAGAATTTTGATCAGAGGTCCTTTGTCTTTTCATCTTTGAAGTTTTGGCATCACCTAATTGGATGTGTTTAATAAAAGCAACATATTATATAATTTCAAAAAGAAACTCTAGATGTACAACAAATATATGTTAATAAAACATACCTCCACCAGCTCTGGGTTCTGACACTTTATGCTTCTCTTTCTGCTTACTTTTGTGTTTCTTGGCAATTAAATCACATTTTTTAGGATCATGCAAACCAAGTTCACTTACCACAGGAGATTTAGTTATATCAGTTAAACATCCGGATAGAATTGATGTATGCATGTTCTTCATAGGAATTGGCTCATCTTTATATATTGCATTTGATATTTCTTTTGAACCATGTTTCTTCCTTCCAGGAGGCATAGCATGTGAACCAAAACATTGTTGGTTTTGTTCAGGTTGCAGGGCATCAGCTGATTGTAATCTGGACATAGTACCGTCAGGATTATTTTGACTTGCTACAGCAGAAACTTGATACAATGCAAAAACAAGCTTTTGTAGTTTCCTCCTCATCAACACTGCAGTGGTTCATTCCAGGCCTAAAAATTTACAGGACAAACAATGTCAGAGAAGAAGAGGTATTTCTCTACAATCCATCACAAAGTAAATCACCAAAACAATTTCATGTTCATTGCAACACCATTTTAACAATATATATATGTATGAAAAATTTGGGAATCTGAACTCTGAACCATTAAATTATATTTAAAAGTTTTTAGAAGGGATGATAAAAAGAACTTACAGCCAGTTAAGCATGCTGCATGACCACTTCTCAGGTAAATCAATAGGCTTTATGCTTATTGGAAGAAGACGCCACTTCATGCACTTATCACAAGAAACCCAGTTTTCTTTAATCAATACAGGATCTGCAGTTCCAAGGCAAGCACCAGCAGCATTCACATTACCAGAGATAGAAGCATCATCCAGGGTATGACTTCCTTACCAGTAAATCATCACTTTTCTTAACACTTCGCCTGTCATTATGTGCATTGTTAATGGATAGTGTATTTTTTTCAATCTTATCATTTTCCTTCACCCGATTTTTAGAATGAATTTCTGATGTACTTGTTAGGTTCTCTTCCTGTTCTGCTTCTAAAACTCCAAAAAATTCTCTATACCCATCTTCAGCCCTTTGTAAAACTATTGCTAATTTTTGGTCTCCCGAATCCCTTTTGTTTGTATTATTGTTCACATGAGCAGTCTGCTTATTCTTCAGCATCAAAGAAGAACCAACCCTCAAGCTTTCTTTTGGTACCTCAGCAGCTAGAATGTCTTGACCATGATTGCCTTTTGATTTATTTTTTCCACCAGAAGAGGTATGCTTCTTGGCAGGAGGCCACTTCATATTGTCTTGCCCGTGCAACATAGCTCTCTGACTGCTCTTCTTCCTAAGAGGATCTACTGGTTCACTCTTTAGAGCTTTGCTACTTTTTTGAGTATTAGACTCAGATTTGACAAAATCACAAGTGTTTTCCGCTTGAATATACTCATCTTTTCTCGTAAAGCCTGAATTATCATCAAGAAACTTTTGAGCTGAACTAGCCCATATATTCTCCAAGCCAATATTTTGTGCAGGTATTGGCTCCACCGACTCCTCCATAGCTATATAATGGGCACCAGTATTTCTTGTCATGCTCTTATCTTTTACCTTGTCAACAGCAGAATGTGCCTTGGCAAAAGATGAAGTTTCAATGGTTTTGAAACAAGCTCCTTACAAGCCAGTGTGTCAATATCTACTTCTTTCTTTGACATGATACCATTGTCATTCCTTATTTCTCTTTTACTGCCACCTTTCCTTTCTACTGTGAAGTCCTTTTTCTCCACTGAATTTGCTTTCTCGTCTCCCAATAATATTTGATCACCCTTTCCAGAATTTGACACATTCTCCTTTAGAGTTTTCTCCTTTTCATTCAAGTAAAGTAGATGATCAGGTAGAGGTGACAGTAGGGCTTCCCCAGGAACTGGGAAGGAAGTCATCAACTGCTCAAGAATATCCAGAAAAAGAAAATATTCTGATCAATTCAGGTTCATCAGATGTAAGAAAATACAGGATTAGAGAAAAAGCAAAACATTCTTTATATGAGAATAATAATAAATATTAAATGTTGGAGATTCTAATAACTGTTCTTGAGTCTCCTGATACATCCCTTCACTTTCAGAAGGACTCTCATCTAAGGAAGAAGATGGTGAGACATCAAGGCCAAGACCACTGTAGATTGCAGCCTTTTTTCGTGTCAACAAGTTATCTGAATCCACTTTGATTCGTAGCTTCAATATTTTCTGCTCTGGCATATTGGCAGCTTTCTTGTCTGCATATTTGCACCTAGAAGCAAGCTCATGAGCATGAGTCAATGTTATGCTGATGTCTTGCTTAATCGAATCATTTGCAGGTGATGCCTTTAAAGCAGGGAGAGGTCCAAAATTTGTAGGATGACGTCCATCCTATATAACAAAACAAAGAAACTGCTCACTTTAACTTTGACTTCTCAAATCAACCAAGATCCATCAAAAGATTCCTACCTTATACAAGATGAAATATAATTTCAAGGGAGGAGAAGAGACGGAGAGGAAAACTCTTACCTCAACTTGTATCTTGTTAGGAGATCTAGGTGCATTGCAGCTCTTAACTTTTGACGGACTTTTCAGATGAGACCTGCTAGGAGATCGTGTATATGTAGGTAAGAACGATCCATATCCACCAAATTTTGCCCCTGCAAGAATGTCCAGATTCCCAAATTCATCTATTTCAAATTATGAACTCCAACTTATGTTGACTCTTCACTTTACGAGAACCATTGTTCTCTTTTTCTTCGAACTTACCTAGGTTTTCTGCAGATACTCCACCTTCAAAATCTTTTTGAAAATGTCCAAGAACATGTTGAATTTTCTCATCCTTAAAAAACAATACAGGAGCCACATCACTATAAATATCATGAAATAAAAGATGAGAGAATCAGATCAAGCATCAGAAAAGTGATAACACCCTGGGAAAGGTCTATGAACATATAATCCTACATCATAAATCATAATGTTAGCACTTGAAGCTAATCCTCTAAAAGCATTTATACTATAGCGAGACTCTATAAGCTAACCACTGAGCTAGAATCTCTTAACTTTAAATAATGAAATTCCCAGAACTTACCATAATAAAACACCATCAACCTTACATGGAAACTGATAGAAGCAGGGATAATGATACGTAGGAACAGCAATCTAAGGAATCAAAAAGAAATCTTTATTGGATAAATTCACTGATAAAGGCAGTCTGTATGGGAAGGACCAAAATCCTAATACAAAGATGATAAAGAAATCATAGATGAAAAACAAGGCTAGGACCCATTAGCATATTGATAACCAAATAGCTTTGAGGGGTCAGTTATTTACAGTGGAACAGAAAAAACGAGAAGCAAGTGATGCAGTTGGATGAAGTAGTGGGATGTGTGACTTAGGGAAGTAGATGATCAGTGTGAAACCTCCCTACTCCCAACAGATTCTTATATGGGTCTTCAGACAAGTCACTCCTCAAGTGGGGCATAGCTGTAAGTTTATTCACCCACGTGGCTTCCTAAAGTACGTGTGCACCGGTGGCAATATATCAGAAACAACCGTTACAAAATATGCTGTGCTAACTTCCCATTTTGAACGTTACATTCAAGATTACCATGATCAAACATCACCAGCCTTACACGGAAGCAAAGTTACAAGCAATGCCTTCTCCAGTAAACATTTGTCCAACTCACATCCAACAATTAAAAGTTAAGGTGCATGAATCTTACTCTTCTAAGTTCCAACTATCAAATCCCCAAGGTTATATTAAAAAATTACCACAATAAAACATCACCAACCTTACATTAAAACAAAAGTTCAAAAGAATGCCAAATGAATCTTACTTTGTTAACTTCCAATT